CATATATATATGGTTAAAGATGGGGAGAGCATCATCAAACCACCATATATATATGGTTAAAAGATGGGGAGAAAATAAGTAGATTGATAGAAAATAGACAGAAAAAAACAGGTAAATAATAGATAAATAGATAGAAAATAAATTGATAGGAAATAGTAGATAGAAAATAGATAAATAGATAGACAAGACAGATAGATAGATAGATACAATAGACAGTCAGACAGACAGAAAGAAAATAGACAGAAAAGACAGGTAGATAAATAATAGATTAGATAGATAGAAAATAGATAGACAGACAGACAAGAGAGACAGATAGATACAATAGGCAGACAGACAGACAGAAAGAAAGAAAATAGACAGAAAAGACAAATAATAAATAGATTAGATAGATAGAAAATAGATAGACAGACAGATAGACAGATAGATAGATGATATAGATAAATAGATAGACAAGATAGATAGATAGATACAATAGACAGACAGAAAGAAAATAGACAGAAAAGACAAGTAGATAAATAATAAATAGAATAGATAGATAGAAAAGACAGACAGACAGACAGACAGATAGGTCTATTGTATCTATCTATCTATCTATCTATCTATCTATCTATCTATCTGTCTGTCTATCTATTCTCTATCTATCTAATCTATTTATTATTTGCCTTTTCTGTCTATTTTCTTTCTTTCTGCAGACAGACAGACAGACAGACAGATAGATGATAGATATAGATAAATAAATAGGCAAGAGAGACAGATAGATAGATACAATAGGCAGACAGATAGACAGAAAGAAAGTAGACAGAAAAGACAGGTAGATAAGTAATAAATAGATTAGATAGATAGAAAATAGACAGACAGACAGACAGATACATGATAGATATAGATAAATAGATAGGCGAGAGACAGATAGATACAATAGGCAGACAGACAGACAGAAAGAAAGAAAATAGACAGAAAAGACAGGTAGATAAGTAATAAATAGAATAGATAGATAGATAGATAGAGAGATAGATAGATAGATAGATAGAGATTAATAGATAGACAGACAGACAGACAGATATACATAGATGATAGATTGACTGATGGTTGTCTCATTCTGCTGGGCAAGGTCGATGCCTGCGAGTGCCAGCCCGCGAAACCCACTAAGCCAGGCGCGGCGGGGGTGCCACCTACCAGATCTGCCAACGGCGAAAGGTACATGGTGATGGTGAAGAGGCTACAGAACAGGCCCAGGTGGGCAAGGCGTGTGGCGGGATCGGGGACCATCAGGGTAAAATAGCTGTAGCCGGACAGAAGGACCGCCAACAGGGCTGTCGTTTTCTTCAAGACGGCACGCTGGGGATCAAGAAAAGAAGGGATGCGCGTCAGCCGGACTCCCGTGTCTTTTTTTCCTTCTGCAAGGGAAACATTCTTCTGCCTAACGTGCCAACTCATTTCGGCTGTCCAAAATTTGGGAAACGGAGAGGTCATCCCGCAGAGAAGCAAATCAAAAGCCCGCAGGCTTCTTTTTCAATGCCGAGATTTGTTTGCGGCCGTAAGAGCGTTGCCACGTTAGAAAAAAATCACAAAGTTAAAATAAAATTCAGAGGCAGGAACCACAATTTTATCCAATTGGGCTGGGTTTTATGGGTTATCTCAATAGCAAGAGACTAATAATACGGTAGACTTTATATATATGGTAAATGTGTACGTGTACGGCACCTGTCTCTTTATTTACACTGTAGTCTATTTTTTTTGCATTTTACCTTTTTCTCTCTCCTGGATTTATGTTAATGTAGATACCTGATATGGTTTGTTAATCATAATTCAATTTTTTTCCAAAAAAAAATCCTAGGGTGGTTTTGGAGACCAGGGATCCAAGTATCCGATACTTCCTCAGTCTCGTGGGATTGAAAGGTTATTATCTAGTTAATCCGAATAATAATATCATTGAATAATATCAATCCATTAAATGCATAAATAATAAATTTAATTAATTAAATTAATGAATACATCCAATTAAGATTAATTGATGTCAATCCATAATATAAAATATAAAATCCTGCTAGCAAGAATCGGTGGGGCCCCAAAAGTAGTAGAAAATGAAGGAAGTGCTCTGGGGGTTTAGAGCTCAAACAGACAAGCCGCTGCCACATAACATCCCAGATTTAACCCTTTTGGATAAGAAAGGCAAAAAAGTCTGGGGAGTGGACATTGCAATACCTGGAGACGGCAGAAGAGAAGAGAAAGAACGGGAGAAAAATTACAAAATACAGCAAACAGAAGTTGAACGACTGTGGCCAAAGAATCAAGTATCAAGAGTTATAGGGACCTTATGTGCAATCCCAAAACATCTGGAGCACCCCTTGAAGACCATCGGCATTGGCCAAATCACCATCGGTCCCTTGCAAAAGGCAGCTCTACCTGGAACAGCTGTGACAATACCTTGAACACCCTCCAGCCTCAACATCTGCCCATCTCAGGTCCTCGGGAAGGCCTCGATCGGTGGATCAAAACCCCAAATCCAGCCTCAACATCTGGCCGACGGTGCGACGCACCATCCTGACAACATATTAAATTTAAGTGCCACCCAGCAACGTGGGGCGGTTGATATGTTCATACAGCATGTTGGCCAGGGTAGAACTCCGGGGTTAGGGGCAGTCTACCTTCAAGCACTGGCTCAACGGAGGGCGGTTTCCTGAAGGTCCAAGCGTTCATCATCATTTATTCAAGGGACCTGCCTATGCCTAGGTTCCCACCTGTCCATTTTTATCGGCTGTTTTCCCGAAAAATGTAGCACTAGAAAAGAGGGAGGTTTAAAAAATGGGACAAACACTCGCTGGGGAGTTACTGATCGACTTATGGCTCTGCAGAGAATTATGCAATGTTTTTCTCTTTCCACCCCGCAGCGCCCGGACAATGACCCGGGACACATGAGCCCAAGAGGTGGAGTTGAACAACCTGGAAAAGTTACGGCGACGAGAATTTGTGTTGACTCAAATCCCCAACCCTCTTGAATCAACAGCCTCGGGAAAGGAGAGCGGTGCGTGCCAATCCAAAGTCAGCCAAACGCTGGTTTAAAAAGACGAAGGGAAAAAAACACACACTTTTTTTCGACACTTTCTTTGGAAACTTTGCTGGCAATATTCTTGGGACGGTAAAGTGGTGCAAAATCAGGAAACGTAAAGCCAGGGTGATGCAGTTTGAGACATTTCGCCCCAGGGCTTCTAACGTGGGAACGATTGAGAAAAAGTCCTTTTTTATACATCTGTTGTTCCCCAACAGATGGATTTAAAAGGAGGTGAACAATGTTCATATAGCACGGTAGAACTCCGGGGTTAGGGGCAGTCTACCTTTAAGCACTGGCTTCATGGAGGGCGGATTCCTGAAAGTGTCTGGCTGGCCACGGTGGAGGGGAAAGAGAATAAGGGGTCTTGATCTTTTGGACAAGCTCACCCACCTTCTCGGAGCTGAAGAAGAAATAGACCAGGATGTAAATTGACTGCAGGGCCGCGCCCACGGCGTTAACAAGGATCAACGTCCAGTCGCCCTTAAGGAAACCGTAGCTGAGCCAACTCAGATTGCTGATGCAGAAAGAGAAAGGAACAGGTTTGAGCGAAGCCAGCTCAACTGAGGTTGCATTTAAGAAATTAACTCCAAAAAGTGACTTCGTTGCAACAATCCCTCGCTTGGGCCCGCAAACGGATCCCTTTCCCTGTTGTCCAGATCGCAACGTAAAGTTGTCTGTCCATCCCGCCCCGTAGTCTCACGACATGGCTGGCTATATAAATTGAATAAAAAAATAAAATAAAATCATAAAATCATAAAATAAATTCATAAATTCATAAAATAAAATAAAAACAAGAATAAAATAAAATAATAAATTCATAAAATAAAATAAAAACAAGAATAAAATATAATAAAATAATAAAATAATAAAATAAAATAAAAACAAGAATAAAATAAAATAAAATAAAATAAAATAAAATAAAAATCAAGCAACCCCATGCATGATTTTCTTTCTTTCTTTCTTTCTAGGGTTCCTCTGCATCTCAAGTAATATTCTTCAGCAGCGGAAGTCACCCCAGTCCTGCCTGTCGGTGGCTGCCAAACCGAAGTCAGGATTGAACAGCACCAAAAATCCTCCCCAAGATTTCCTACAATTTAAATTGTTTAAATGGATTCTCTCTGACGTCCACCCTGGCGCTGGCTCTCTCGATGATTATGCGCCGGATCATTGAGCGGATTCCTCCCACCAGCGTGGCTGAGGACCGACTGACCTCG